ATGAGGAGACATCACTCTTATAATCAGCACTGCTATTTTACAATGTTTCTACAATTTCAAGGTTTTTTCCCTGTCCAAGTGTGAAACAATATGCACAAAACCTATTGTCATAAGGAACTGGGACAGGTGATGAATTCATTAACAAATATGGATGGGTTCCTGCATATATGCCATGCCTTGCTCTAGCAGCCAGAGATACCATGTTGAATATTACCAATATTGCTCCTGTCCTTTCAATTTGCAGTCTATAGGCCAGACAGTGTGGCAGTAGTAAATAAGAATGGTGGTGCTCTGAACTTGGAATTCAGGGGCATGGAACAGTAGCAAGCATACCTAACTAATGTAGGGTCAAAGAAGGTAACCATCAGAGGAGGAGTGTTGCGCAGTAGGAACCTGAAGGAGCACTGAGAGACGAGCAGGGTACAGAAACAGAAGATGAGAACAACAGTTGTGGAAAGTCCAGGTGCCAGAGCAGCATGGCACCTGCGGCACGTATGGAACAGAGGGACAGTTCACATGCCCTGAAACGTGTGGCACAGAAAGGGAGAGCTTTCCTGACCCCCATCCTTTTCTGAGACTTTTTCTATAAGTTACATTCTTTCCATTTGAAACACAACAATTTCTCAATGTATTGCTTTTCAAGGCGTTGACCTTTCACACAGAAAAATACTCTGCCCTTTGATGGAGTCTCCGAGTATAAGCCTGTCGTGGAGTGTAGCCTGGGCCACAAATGCCTGCTATTAGCTTATAAGGTCTGTTTGGGCTTCTCCAGATTGCAGTGAATGATCATTGTTTTTTGGAGATCTGTTATCTATGAAACTGGAGAGAATTGAAGAAGCAAGCTACAGGGCAGTAGTTGGTATAGAGAAAAAGCAGTCAATAAATTATTTGCCAGCGTCTCGTAAGCGACCCTAAAGCCAACTTAACCTCAAACACAAGTAATCATGATTTCTTAGTGACTCTACAGAATTGTTTCTGTCACTGGTATAAATATTTTCAAGGCTAATGTATGATTTGTTTCACCCCCCCATGTAAATTACATTCCTGGTTGACTTTGTTAGAAACAGAGGCCAGGGGATAACTTAGAGATTAGCCCATATCATGTTATTTCCAGATCAATACTTAGAATAAATGTATGTCCTAAATAGCCATCTTAAAGTTATTTACTCTCCAGGACAAGTGGTCTTTCTCATAATTTATGGCAAGAAATTAGATGAGGATGAGTGTCTCCAAAATCCCGTAGAACTTCCCTTGAAGAAATCTGATTCATAGGGACGTTGCTCACCTCATAGCGTCAAATTACTAGGACAGTTGAGTGATCTCTCCCGATTTCTTTAACTTGCAAAGAATTCGCACAAATCAGGTGCCAATAAAAGAATGGGCAACGGCTACACACGCTCTTTATAGAAAAAGAAACAGAGATGGTGAGTAAACGTTTGGAAAGATATTCAAACTGGTAACTAAAGAAACACAGATCAAAGCAAGGAGGCTTTCCCCCCCACCTAGCAGGAGCGGAAATTCCTAGCGCTGGATGACAGCCATAGCTGAGGCTGGCTTGGAGGAGGGAGGGGCGTTTCGTACGTTTTGCGGGGGGAGTGCACGTTTCTGAACGACGGTTAGGCAGGGCGTCCTAAGATTTTAAAAGTGCACGCTTTTTAACTCGGCTGTGCTGCTGCTCGGAATCTACCCTATGGAGAGGCTTTCGAATGCTCCTTGGAGCACTTAAGAAATAATATTGAAAAAAAAAACCTGGAAACAACCAAAGTGTCCATTCACAGAGCACTAGTTTTAAACTATGGTTAAGTCCACACAACGGGACTGTCTGCAGCTACTGAAAAGCGGTTAAAACGAACGAGGAAAAAGAACACATTACGTGGAAAAGTTGCCGAGGTATGTCATTAGGTTAAAAATGATAGCAACAAAAACTAAGTACACAACACTGTGACTCTATGATCAGCACCTTCGTGAAATAAACACCGACACACACCCATCTAGATACACCATACACGCGTGTCTCTGTGTGTGCAAGCGGGTGTACACATACACACACATATCTTCTGCTCCGCCCCCCAAGAGATTATTAGTAAGTGATTAGGGTGGTTGACGCTGAGATTTTCACTTTCAATTTGGCATCTTTCTGAACAACTCAATTTTTCTAACCTCGTGCTGTGTATGACTTTTATTTTATTACTTAGTCTTTGATTGTCTAATAGAGGTCTCTAAGCAGAAACATAATGGGCCTTTTTTGCTTTCTTCTTGGTATTTCTTAGTATTCTAAAAAAAACTTAGTAAAATATCGCATTTAAAATATAAAATAAACGAAGAAAAAAAATCCTATCTGTAGCCTACGTCCAAACCACTTTCTTATTTTTCATCGTCATAGGCACCCCATGGTTCTTGTCTTTACATCTGAGATGAAAAAGCAGGCAGTGCCCTTTATATTTGTGTACATAGGAGAACAATTCCTGGCCTACAGCCTAAAAGCTAATTTCCAAAAGAAATGACAATGAATCACCCATTTCTCAATTAAAAAAAAAAATCTGGATGAAAACAGGTCACCGTCACCCTGAGGTGGGTTCGAGTTTGCTCACTGTTGGCATTCCCCAGGTTATTAAAATCGGGGGAGAATTTCAGATGCCCAGCACCGTCCAAATCTGTCTCCACGGTCCTGCAACCCAGCACTGCCCCCTGCTGGTTCCGTGGGCCACGTTCAGCGGGTCTTTGAGGCAGAGGAAAAAGTGTGATTTATGGAAGATGATAGGAAAAATCACTCTGAAATCTAGCAGAAAAGGGTTTAGCTTTCCTTTCTAGTGCATGAAAAACAAAACAAAAAACAAAGAACCGGTTTAAAGAAGACACATATAATTATATATGTGTATATATATTTGTATGTGTGTATGTGTTTGATATATGACATACTTATTTATGCCACATTTTAATATATATTAAAAACATGGCACGAAAACTACCACCTATGACACGTGCTCTAAACAGCTTGATGGCAGAGCCCTAAGTTCGAACTGTTTTGACCTCAAGTCAAGCATCTATCACGGCTCTAAGCCACCTGGGTCTGATTTGATTTTTATGTCCCATCGTTTTATGAATACGCATGTATTTATCTGAGTTGACTAAGTCTACAGCTACCAAACAGATCCATTTAAATCCGTAACGTCCTCAGTCTTGCAGGTCTGGGACCCACGTGAGAAGGCTGGAAAAATGATACCTCCCTTACTCTGAGAAACCAAAAAAAAACATGCTTGAATTTCAAACTCTGTATCTTCAGTCCAGTATATATTCAGTATATATCGTAGCGTACTATTACTCAAAGGTTACGTATATTATTATCCATATACGTATATATTTTTTTTTTTTTTTCTTCGGTAAGAGTTTCTGACTGATGATTTGCACCAAAGGGCCTTCTGTCCGGGTCACCCAGCAGCAGGACGGTGCTCGGCTGGGATGGAGACCCAGGGAACAGCTGCCGTTCGCAGACTTGCCGAGCTCGGTGAGGCAACAGCGCCCCTTAGTGCCACTCAGCACCCGCAACCAGCACGAACTTCTGCGTCAGGAGCCCGGGTGTGAGAGCAGAGGGCAGGGGCTCAGGTGACCTCCAGGGCAGCGAATAACTGCTAAGGCCTCATTATTGCTCAGGTGTGGTGGGGGTGGGAGTGGGCGAAAGATTCACAGAGAGGTAGAGCCCATCGTTTTTATCTCTCAAGAGACTCTCAGCCAGGTTAGGAACACGACCATGTACTGTTTCTCCCCAAAGATCAGACCTCCCCATAAAATAAGCCCCAGCAGGATTTCTAAGCATGTGTGCCATAGAAGCCCTACCCCAAAAATCAGCCCTAGTGATGGGCGTGGCCATGAAAATCAGCCCTAGTGATGGGCGTGGCCATGAAAATCAGCCCTAGTGATGGGCGTGGCTATGAAAATCAGCCCTAGTGACGGGCGTGGCTGCACAGCGCATCTGCACAACCCATGCGTGTCGTCGCGGAGCGGGAAAGAACACGAGCAGCCCTTCTCATCCGCCCCGTGAGAGCTCTAGTGCTCCACAGGAGAGATCGGGGCCAGTGGTTCTAAAGGAAACAGAGTCACAAGACATTCAGGATGGGATTCGGGGTCTGGAGAGTGAGGATGATGTTCCAGAAGAAGACGACTTCACTCTATTTGAATCAGTGGAGATGGTTGTACCGTACTCAAAAAAAATAACACGTCCCCTGAAAATAAGCCCTGGGGTGTCTTCTTGAGGAAACATAAACAGAAGACCTGTTTTGCTTTCGGGGAAACAGGGTGCTGACTTGGAGGAGCTGGTGAGCAGGGAGAGCCACTCTCCACGTTAACCTCCCCCGTGACGCAGGTCTTCTGCACACGGATTCGCCTCCACGAATGGGCGGCGTCTCTCGGCCTTCCGCCCTCTCCTGCTTCACCAACACCTCTGCAGTGGGCTCAGGTAACGTCTTGAGCCTGGTCTGGGGTTTTACCTGCTGTTGTGCCAGTGCACGTCTGCATAGAAAGACTTTGTCCACACCGTAGTGGTTACTTCCAATAAATAATAAGTGATACCGTGTTTCCCCGAAAACAAGACAGGGTCTTATATTGATTTTTCCTCAAGAAGACACCCTAAGGCTTATTTTCAGGGCATGTGTTATTTTTTTTTAAGTACGGTACAACCATCTCCATTTATTCAGAGTGAAGTCGTCTTCTTCTGGAACATCATCCTCACTCTCCAGACCCCGAATCCCATCCTGAATGTCTTGCGACTCTATTTCCTTTAGAACCACCGGCCCAGATCTCTCCTGTGGAGCACTAGAGCTGTCACGGGGCGGATGAGAAGGGCTGCTTGTGTTCTTTCCCGCTCCGTGACGACACGCATGGGTCGTGCAGATGCGCTGCGCAGCCACGCCCGTCACTAGGGCTGATTTTCATAGCCACGCCCATCACTAGGGCTGATTTTCGGGGTAGGACTTCTATTGCGCACATGCTCAGAAATCCTGCTGGGGCTTATTGTATGGGCAGGTCTTATTTTCGGGGAAACACGGTAAATCAAGGGGTGTTTCATTGTCATTTCTTCCACCCAGATGTTAAGAGAACTTTCTCTCCGCGTAGGAGGGTCCAGCGACAGGGGAAGGCGCTTGAGTCACGAGGCCGGGCCCTCCCATAGGCCTGTGACCCCACGGCTCCGCGTCCTCTCGAGACGCCCCGGTACTCACTGCGGGACCGCAGGTAGCAGTCGTTGCAGTTCAGGAGGCCGCTGCGGATCCTGACGTCCATCCCGCTGGCCGCGTCCCCCAGCTGCCCTCTGCAGACCCCACACTGCAGGGGAAGAGCAGACGTTCCAAGGTGAGTCGGGAAGCACTTCTCGATACCGGGCAGTCCCTGTTCACGTGACCGACACAGCCATCGTCTCTGCAATCTCGCACTTGCTGAGCGTCTACCGTGTTTCCCCGAAAATAAGACCCGCCCATAACACGAGCCCCAGCAGGATGTCTAAGCATGTGCGGCAATAGAAGCCCCACCCCGAAAATCAGCCCTAGTGACAGGCGTGGCTGCGCAGCGCATCTGCACAACCCATGTGTGTCGTCGCAGAGCAGGAAAGAACACGAGCAGCCCTTCTCATCTGCCCCGTCGTGACAGCTGCTGTCCCAGAGGTGACCGGAAAGGTGCGGGCAGCCCCATCAACAAGCTCGGCTCCCCCTGTCAGGTCCCGGCCATCCTGTGCGTGCTGCAAGCTGAGGCTTTGAGGGGCAAATAACACATCCCCTGAAAATGAGCCCTAGGGTGTCTTCTGGAGGAAAAATAAATAGAAGACCCCGTCTTGTTTCCGGGGAAACGCGGCAGTATGTGTTAGATGCTGCACCAGCGCCGACATGTGGTGAAAGGGGACCTGTTCTCAGCGCTCTGCCTTGGTCCCTGCCCTTCAGAGAAAAGGACACTGGTGCAGAGCGGTCAGCTGACTTGTTCAAAGGTCGTGACGCGGGTCAGCGGAATCAGGTTGACTCCAAAAAGCCTATTGTCCTGACCGCTATAAAACACCGTTTCTTAAATCAAGATAGAAGAGCCATTTTAAACAAATTAAGCTCTACTGGCTTGTTTCTTTTTTTAGGGGGGGAGGGACAGAGTCTCACTCGGTTGCCCGGGCTAGAGTGAGTGCCGTGGCGTCAGCCTAGCTCACAGCAACCTCAAACTCCTGGGCTCAAGCGATCCTCCTGCCTCAGCCTCCCAAGTAGCTGGGACTACAGCTACTACCGTGCCTGGCTAATTTTTTTAATATATATTTTTAGTTTTCCAGCTAATTTCTTTCTATTTTTTTAGTAGAGATGGTGTCTCGCTCTTGCCCAGGCTGGTCTCGAACTCCTGAGCTCAAACGATCCTCCCGCCTCGGCCTCCCAGAGTGCTGGGATTGCAGGCGTGAGCCACCGTGCCCGGCCCACATTTATATATTGTCTGTTAAGTCTTGGTTTCCAGCGACTTCTGGAATTATGAAATCAATCATTCGGGGACAACTTCACTGCCTTTATCTCAGCTTATGGGCAAAATGGGAATTATTTTAAGCTCCTGCAACTTAGTTTTGTAGCCAAAGAGGCTGCCAACAAGAAACAGGGCTAAATTCCAGATTCAGGAAAGCGCCATCGGGGCTACACAGCGAAAGAAATTACTCTTTTTCAGAGAACGGGCTTGGCTTCAAAGATTATATACTGATTTGAAGTGAGTCCATGAGTGGGAAAAAGAATGGCAGAACATACTGATGCAGTCCAGCTTACACATTTTATGATCAAGAAGGTATAACTCGCTGATTTATTAGCTCACTCACTTGTTGTCGGGATACTTGGAACTAGAGTCCAGGCTTTCTCATTTTCAGATTGTTCAGTGACTCATTCACCTGAAAACATTTATTGGCATTTGCAGTGCTGGGTGCAGAGGAAACGGTGGTGAGCAGGGCAGACTGGTCCCGGCCCACGGAGTTTACAGTTCATGAGAGGAGATGATAATTAAACAATTCAGTCGTGAGTGATGAGGGCCACGAAAGGCTCCATAAGGGGCCGGGCGCGGTGGTTCACGCCTGTCATCCTAGCACCCTGGGAGGCCGAGGCGGGAGGCTCGCTCAAGGTCAGGAGTTCAAGACCAGCCTGAGCAAGAGCGAGACCCCGTCTCTACTAAAAATAGAAAGAAATTAATTGGCCAACTAATATATATATATATATATAGAAAAAATCATCTGGGCATGGTGGCACATGCCTGTCGTCCCAGCTACTCGGGAGGCTGAGGCAGGAGGATCGCTTGAGCCCAGGAGTTTGAGGTTGCTGTGAGCGAGGCTGACGCCATGGCACTCACTCTAGCCTGGGCAACAAAGCGAGACTCTGTCTCAAAAAAAAAAAAAAAAAAGAAAGGCTCTACAAGGTCTATAAGGGCCTCTCCCAGAAGCACCTGGCTTAGTCCGGGGTGCAGAGCAGCTTCTCAGGGGGAGTGAGACAGCTAACCTGGCGACATCACAGACACACTCGTTCTGAGACTCACAACTTCGCATCTGGCCACAGCCGTTCATCTCACTGACGGAACACTTCCCACGAGGTGAAAGACTCAAGCCCTTCGCCATGAAGTCACGGGAGTCTAAGCAGCAGCAAAGACTGCCGAGCCCCAGATAGACCCAGGCGGCCGGACCTGGTCTGGCAGCGCCCTTGCCCCCAGTGTGCTCGCCCTCAGCTTCCCGCCAGGGCGCATGCTGCTCTTAGGGACAAAGCCGTTCTGCAGAAAGACAACCTGCGCAGGTCCGTTTTGCTTCTTCGGCCCGACATCCCGGGGGGCTGGTGGCTGGTGGGAGAGTTCCACGCTGAAGGGTGGAGCCCACCCGCGCAGCAGCGCAGACTGGAGCGGGGCAGCCTCTCGAGGAAGGGCGTGGGACCCCCAGGAGGCGTTCCTCAGCACGGGACCAGCCGGGACAGGCGCTGCAAACCGTGCTTAGCTTGGCGAGAAGAGCATGAGCACGTACCCTAAAACACTGGATGTGGAAGTAGAGATTGAGGGTCTCGATGATCATCGCAGCTCCTTTGCCCAGAGGAAGCCCGCACGAGGAGCACAGCTTCTTCCCGCTTATAGACCTGGGTTCAAAAATACACCCGATCACGAAAATTTCAGTTTAGAATACTTGGTCAGACACACAAACTCGCGACCTCATGCAAAAACGAAAACATGGATTTCTAAGATGTTTATGTCATGAACGAAATGAGAATTACTACGCTGACAATGAACAGGAAATTAAGCGTTAGATACAAATTCCAAACAACTGCTAGACCAAATACAACAGGCCTCCATTTTGGTGTTGAGTCTGGGGTGTGTGTGTGTCTGTGTGTGTTTAAGTTATTTATTCCAACAAGTCTGTGTTGTCGTCTATTCAAATTCCTTGGAATGGTTTAATACATTCATCATATAATTTCCTAAGTTCTAAAAGATCATCAAGCTCAGCTTTTTTTTTTTTTTGAAACAGAGTCTCAATGTATTGCCCGGGCTAAAGTGCCGTGGTGTCAGCCTAGCTCGCAGCAACCTCCAACTCCTGGGCTCAAGCGATCCTCCTGCCTCAGCCTCCCGAGTAGCTGAGACTACAGGTGTGCCCCACCATGCCCGGCTAATTTTTTCTATATATTTTTAGTTGGGCAATTAATTTCTTTCTATTCTTAGTAGAGACGGGTCTCGCTCTTGTTCAGGCTGGTCTGGAACTCCTGACCTTGAGCAGTCCTCCTGCCTTGGCCTCCCAGAGTGCTAGGATGACAGGCATGAGCCACCGCGCCCGGCCAAAAAAAGCATTCTTACCAAATCAGAATATAACCTAGTGTTGCTACCTTAATTGGAGAGCCTAAGAGAGAATGACAATTTTTTTTCCCCTTGAAAGGACATCTGTCTATACTCTGAGGCAATTTAAACTCACTTAAATGAATTGGGAATCCAACAGGCCTGCAAATTCTGACACGTTCAGAGTGGCCGCCCACTTGCCAGGGAGACCCTGCCAGACCTCCGCAGACGCCGGCCGCCCTGCCCTGAGATCAGACAGAGAAGACGCGCCACGCCGGCGACGTCTTGCTGTCACACACCTCTGCGTGTTCCTCCAAGTGAGTAACTTAAAAGAAGAAGAAGAATCGCACAGAACCCATCCGACCGACCGGGTTACTCACCTCCGCCTTTCGCTGGGGGACTCGATCTGATGGTTAGCGCCTCTGCCCGGCGGGAGGGGTTTCGGCTTGGTCTCCTCCGTGACGGGAGCAGCCGGGCTCGCCACCTGCCGGCCCTGGGTCGGATCTGGGCCGAGGGAAACACACAGACTCAGTGCCCGGCAAGTCACCTTAGTCCCCGGCAAGTCACCTCTCTTGGAAGCGCCAAGGCCGGCCGAGGTCTCTAGGCCGCCTCGCCGTGAATTAGTTCCGGAAATGCCGGAGATGGGGCCCCAGACCCTTTTCTGCCTCACCGATTTCGGACGTAGCGACATGGTGACCACACGTTAAAATGCCGACTTCTATGCGTACAGAGAGCCGACGTGGGTGGATGCGATTACATCCTGGAACCTGATCTCTAAAACACGGCACACGGCCGCGGCGTTCCCACACCCGGGGGGGTCACACCGACCGCCACGTTTAGATCCTCGGGGCCCCGAGTGGCACTGAGCTTGCGGGAGAGCCCCGCGAGGGAACACCCACGGATCAGCGCCTGCGTATTACAATCAGCCCGTGCAAATACGCTCATGAGACAGCACACCAAAAACACAAGGCCAAATCCAATAACTCCGCCATGAAAACACGTCTATTTGCTCAGCCCTGTCTGCTTTGGCTGCGGACACATCCGCCGGGGCCGCCCTTCCGTCCTCTCAGCTCGGCCTCCGCTCTGTGTGATTCAATGTCTGACGCGTCAGTGATCTCCAGACGGTCCTGGAGGCCCTGGCAGGTCGAGTTCGGCCCTCTTGGCGAGGAACACGTTTGAGCTCAGTCGTGGGGAGCCTGGGGTGGGGAGGGGGTGCTGTGGATTCCGCCCTTCCACGAGCATTTTTATGGGGAGATATGATGTCCAGCGGTGACACTGGAACATTTGAGGAAGTCTCAAAAGGCACTGCTTGCGAAGGTCAAAGGGTTTCTGGCCTTCAAAGGTAGAGTCGTCTTTTTTTTGCTTCAGTGCCGATACCTGCTCGGGTCTCATGGGTCTGCGTGGTCTGGGCATGCAGTTGAGGGAGTCTATTCACTACGCACCGTGTTTCCCCGAAATTAAGACAGGGTCTTATATTTACTTTTCCTCAAGAAGACACCCTAGGGCTTACTCTCAGGGGATGTGTTATTTTTTTTTTTAAGTACAGTATAACCATCTCCACTGATTCAAAAAAAGAGTGAAGTCGTCTTCTTCTGGAACATCATCATCACTCTCCAAACCCCGAATCCCATCCTGAATGTCTTGCGACTCTGTTTCCTTTAGAACCACTGGCCCCGATCTCTCCTGTGGAGCACTAGAGCTCTCACGGGGCAGATGAGAAGGGCTGCTCGTGTTCTTTCCCGCTCCTCGACGACACGCATGGGTTGTACAGATGCGCTGCGCAGCCATGCCCGTCACTAGGGCTGATTTTCGGGGTAGGGCTTCCATTGCGCAAATGCTTAGACATCCTGCTGGGGCTTATTGTATGGGTGGGTCTTGTTTTCAGGGAAACACGGTACCTGGCACAAGCGAGGAGTCCGGTCCCCTAAGAGAACAGCCTGCAGTGAGCAGGGGTCAGGTCTGTCTGGATAACGTGGGGGGTCGTGACAACAGTGTAACCACGGAGTCCGGCCCTCTCCCGTCCTTACCCTGAGGGAGCTGTGGGTTGGGCCCGCGGCGGGGGGCCCCAGCCTCTGCGTCCAGCGGAGGCTCTGGCTGTATTCCTTCCGACACGGGGCTCTCAGAATGAGCCTCGGCCCCTCGAGTTAGGCTGTTAAAATAAAGAAATATATTTCAGAACAGAGACAAAAGCAACTGAAGCGAACTTACTGGTCCTATCCCTTAGGGCATAGAAGTACCAATCACGACATAAACAAAGGGACGGGACTAACGAGATGCTTATTTATTCTTCGCAATTTTTTTTTTTTTTTGAGACAAAGTCTCACTTTGTCGCCCGGGCTAGAGTGAGTGCCGTGGCGTCAGCCTAGCTCACAGTAACCTCAGACTCCTGGGCTCAAGCTATCCTCCTGCCTCAGCCTCCCGAGTAGCTGGGACTACAGGCATGTGCCACCATGCCCGGCTAATTTTTTCTATGTATATTTTTAGTTGGCCAATTAATTTCTTTCTATTTTTTGGTAGAGACGGGGTCTCGTTCTTGCTCGGGCTGGTCTTGAACTCCTGACCTTGAGCAATCCGCCCACCTCGGCCTCCCAGAGTGCTAGGATGACAGGCGTGAGCAACCTCGCCCGGCCCATTCTTCTCATTTTAAGCTACACTTGCCAGCCGCTGAGCGCAGGAGAAGTCTCAGGGCAGAACCGCACCGGGAGCACCTGGCTCCCGGCTGGCCAACCTCTTGATCGCGTCCGTGTTTGAGGACGACACTCAGGTCCCTCTGGGCGTGCCGAGTGCACGTGCACACGCGTGCACGCCTGCCAGCACCTCTCTGGTGCCTCGGAGCCCCCTGGCACAAACATCTGTCCCGGGAAGAGCACGCTGGCGGCAGGGCCCTGCCGGCCTCCCGGGCTTCCTGCGGGTGGGTCCCTCCGGGCCAGGCGAGGGGCGGCGCCGAGGAGCCCCTGCGGCCACAGGCAGGTCAGCTCCTCCGAGTCCGCTGTGCGTGCGGGGGGCTCTCGCTGTCCCTGTCCCGTCTCCCACGGAACACACCGGGGCCCACCGGTGGGGTGACCACCCACAACGAGTTAACGAAGGGTTGTCCTTTATATCTGCAGGCCCCACCCCCGCCACAGCCTGGGCCGAGCAGAAGCCGGGCTAGATTCCGCGTTAGGGTGAGCCGCGCGATTATTTCGTTACATGTCACCACGTGGCAGCAACAGAAATAAAGTGCACAACAAATGCGTGCGCTCGGCCGTCCCAAACCATCACCCTCCTCCCCACCCCGGCCCGTGGGAAAACTGCCATCCTCCAAACTGGTCCCCGGGGTGGAAAAGGTTGGGGACGGCCACTGCTGCTTCTCGTCGTCACTGGAGCAAAGGTGGCGCCCCCTAGCTCAGGGGACACCAGCGGCCGAGGGCAGCGGCGCGCCCCGGCCTCCTTCCCGCCCCCCGTCCCTCCGGTCACCCTCGGCATTTGGAGCGAGTGACGTTTTGGTCTGGGACTTCGAGCCGACAACACGCCCTTCCGACGATCCATCAATACCGCATCCCCAATTGGAAACAAGGTCCCCCCGCTTTGAAAATAAGGCCATTTGTACTCAGGAGCACGGGGACGCTGACTTCAGAGCTGCTGCGGCACGTCCGAGCGACGCGCGATGTGTCGCCGCCACGGCCCTCTCAGAGCCGCGTGCCGCCTGCATTAGCCACACGTCCCTTCCCGGGACTTCTCGCCGGCGGCGGCACGGCGCCTACCTGCCCCGATCCTCCCGCGGGCCGCCGTCCCCGGGCTGGGCCAGCGAGTCGCCACCGTCCTCCGGGAACGGCTTCTTCCGTCTTTCCTCCTGCGTCTCGTCCCGGCAGTTTTCCAGGTCCTTCTTATTCTAAGGGGGTGGGGAATAAAGAAGGATAATCTCGAATACAGATTTAAAACACACCGTATCATAACGCTTTTCTCTGGCCGTGGGGTACGTCGAGGTGTGTTGCGATCACCTCGCCTGCCATTTAAGAATGGTTGCCCAGATCAACAACGGCGATGGGCTTCCGGCCGTTTGGAACAGATGCACGACCTGGACTCATCTCGAAAGCTATCATAAAAAGGAATTGGCTAGAAACGTGCCTTTTCAAAATACAACAGAGTCACGGGACTGCTCATCTCAGGACCAAAGCCATCCTGGTCTGCCCGGTTGGTTACGTTGCTGCACGCAGATTAGGGGCCGCCTGGGTCTTGGGCAGTCCGGCGACTACTTCAGTGACTACCGGGAAGTCCTGAATGACTTCCGCCAGGACCCTGGCCACCGTATTTGGGGGATGTCAGGGTAGACCGGCCTGTTTAGACCCTCCCCAGTCCTCAAAGACACGTGACACATTTCTTGGGGGACTTAGGGGGCTAGAAGCAACTTCTACGGAGGCTGGCAGAGGACACATCGCCAGGATCTCTGCTGCTGCCAAGCAAGGCGCACAAACGCGGGGTGCGGCAGGGAGGAGCAGGCCCTGCGGACGGAAGAGCGGTCTGGGAGCCGAGCAGGAGGGGGACAGCCCCGCACACGCCGCGATACCCGGGACCTTGGCGGCGGGGTGTGGTGGGACTGGGGCTGACGGCCTGCTGGGGCGGGTCTGGGCTCGGGAAATGACTCCAGGGAGGGCCCTGGCAGCGACGGGTGTGATGAGCTGCCAGGGCCAAACGGGAACTGACATACAACGGGGTGTGCCTCCTAGGGCAACAGCCAGTCTCGGATCTAACCACTCCAGTGCCGGTGTCCACTGCGGCCGACAGCCACAGACGCGCGCGCAGCGACTGTAGCCGACAGCTGTGGTGTGCCTTTTCTAGTTTTTCATGTATCAAAATAAAAGTGGGAACATTTAAAAATAACGTCATGAAAACACATATGTATGTATGTTACCTATTCTGATATTTTCATGACAAGGAAAAAGCTGCATATAAAGTGAAACAAGCTCTCAGTGCTTCCAAGCTTTCCTCGTCACACAGGAGCGAGACGACGTGCCGTCCGTGCACAGCACAGACCGCCGTGCGGACCGCGAGTGCCGGCCGTGGGCGAGGGGTCGCGGCCGGTGAGCCCCGGACCCAAGTGGTTAGACTATTGAGCAAGACGGGAAAACTGGGCCTTGTGGGTCGGCCCTTCTACTCAGGTTTATCTTATTTCAGAAATCGCTTCTCGTTTACGGCCTCACCGTCGCCCCGCTGCTCTGGGTCGCAGAGGAGGGAGAGGAGAGCTGGTCTGCAGAGCTCGAAGAAACGGTAAAGGGAACCACGGTGTCTTCGATTATCCTGCGCTCCTAAGGGGGAGGGCGAGAATCATCCAGGGGAGGGGGGGGAATGAAAAATCGTATTTGTCAGGAGAAAAAATGTCATTAAGGAAATTTAGGGAAAAAAACAGAATATGTGCAAATGAGCAGGACATTAAAAAAAAAAAGGCTTATTTTCCAAAAGCATGCAAATCATGCAACACCCTCCACAGGCAATAATTTAGAAATTAGCATTTAATTTAGAAACACGAAGTCTTTGCAAATTAATCAGCTAGTAGGATGCAAGAAGCCTAATTAGAAATGCTGTTAGGGATCTGATTATGCACAAAAATTACTGTTGAAGATAAAATTCACAACAATATTAATCATGAACAAATTTTAGATAATATACGCAAAATGTAGCCCCCTTTAAATTCTCTAACGTGCTCCGGCTTGTTTATTTTAAAACACAAAAGGAACCAAAACAAATTTCTCTGCCACTCCAAGTCTCTTTAGTCCTATATAGTAAATACAGGGGGTAAGGATACCTCCATTCAGCCTCAGTATCAAAATTATTCTCATAAGATTGATTCACTATTACCAAACAACACACACACACAAATAAGTGAATTGATTTCTTCATGTCATCCCTCTAAGATAAATCAAGAATCCGATTCACTGACTAGAGAACAGATGCAATCGTATCACTTCCCTGAAAGTGGCTCACCTCACCCTTACCACAAACTGTCTTTTGGGGGGAATTGTGGTCTTTTAGGACCTGTATGATGACTGTTTTTTTCCGAGACAGAGTCTAACTCTGTTGCCCTGGCTAGAGTGCTGTAGCGTCAGCCCAGCTCACAGCAGCCTCCAACTCCTAGCCTCAAGCGATCCTCCTGCCTCAGCCTCCCGAGTAGCTGGGACTACAGGCACGCGCCACCATGCCCGGCTCATTTTTCCCATACATATATTTTTAGTTGTCCGGCTAATTTCTTTCTATTTTTAAATAGAGACAAGGGTCTCGCTCTTGCTCGGGCTGGTCTCGAACTCCTGACCTCGAGCGATCCTCCCGCCTCGGCCTCCCAGAGTGCTAGGATGACGGGCGTGAGCCACCACGCCCGGCCTGCAGTGACTGCTTTGAAGGGGTTGATGGGACTCCACTGTGGGTAAAGAGGCAGACACAGCCACACGCACACGCATGCCACGGACACGGGGACACAGGGAATGCGGACGGACTTGGAGGAACCGGGGCGACAGGGCCGGACTCCCTGCGGGGATCTCCTACCTCCTCGTAGTATCTGCGTTCTTCCTCCTCCACCTCCTTCTGGGCCTTTTCCCACTCTTCTTTCAGCTTGTCCTGCTCCTTCTGGTACCTCTCCTGCACGGAACGCCCACAGACGGCTCTGAACTGACCGTGGCGCACGCCGCGGGGACCCTCCCCGCCTCTCACCCGCCGCGCACAGTGTGGCTGCGAGACGGCCTTCCTGGTGTGACGCCCTGACTCTGATGGGCCCGCACGGTGAGGGGTGCTAGTCTGCGGTGCTCGGGCATCTCAGGAGCGTAAAGCTCCGGCAGAGAGCAGTGCTTCCTGAGGCCCGGGTTTCGCAGAGCCGCTCTTTAGCTACGTGAGCGGGACCCTCCCCGCCTCTCACCCGCCGCGCACAGTGTGGCTGCGAGACGGCCTTCCTGGTGTAACGTCCTGACTGATGGGCCCGCACAGTGAAGGGGTGCTAGTCTGTGGTGCTCCAGCATCTCGGGAGCGTGAGCCCCAGCAGACAGCAGTGCTTCCTGCGGCCCGGGTTTCGTAGAGCCGCTCTTTAGCTACATGAGCGGAAATCTGCTCGTGGAGAGAGAGAATATAGAAAGGCGGAACGCCTCTAAGACGGCGTCCTCAGACTACGGCCCGCAGGCCACATGCGGGTGCTTTTGCCCATTTGGTTTTTTTTTTTTTTTTTTTTAAGACAGAGTCTCGCTTTGTTGCCCAGGCTAGAGTGAGTGCCGTGGCGTCAGCCTAGCTCACAGCAACCT